AATATATAAAGGCCTTTACGGCCTGTGAACCCTTTCATGCTGTAAAGAAGCGGCACGGCACTCGAAGCTAACTCTTCTTCGTGCTAGAGACAGGATTCACCTCGTTCAGCCAGACTGTCGCTGCGCTGACCTCGGTGGCCGTCGCCAGAGGCTCGGCGGGCTCGCTTCGGCCCGCTGGCTGGCCGCCAGCTAAACAGGGCCTCGCTCGAGTTTAGGGTTTTGGGGTTTACGGTTTTGGGGTTTAGGGTTTTGGGGTTTTGGGGTTTAGGGTTTAGGGTTTTGGGGTTTAGGGTTTAGGGTTTAGGGGCACTGGGCCTTAATAGTTTGAATCGGTGTCGGGGGTATATTTATGGCATAATTCTATTCAGGAACCCTCAGGAATGATATAAGCACATATTCAGGCCTATACATTAGTCCAGTGTTTCACCTCCAGCCATGAACTATTAACCTTTGCTCGTCCCCCTTCTGGTCTTGCTTGCAAGTTGTGTGCAGGGTAATTCGTTGAGTAGCTTTTACCTTTCGCTTTTGTGCGGATTAGAAGTTGGGTCTTAAATTACCCAAACCCTCAAGTATGCCCGCCCGCCACCCCTCCCGCCCTCCCCCACTGTCCCCCTCCATCCCAAAAAGAAGCGAATAGACTCACACCCACCTACAACTGCTTCGGGGTGGCGTCAACACAAACATGTGACTGAACAAGACAGATACGAGCCTGAAGTGCTTCGTTCGTGGAGGCTAGTTCGAGATCAACGACTTCCCACGGAGCATACACCGCATGTGTGAAGAAAAAGCCCAGTCTGTGAGCTTTCAGAGTTTAGCCCGGAACTCCCGAACCCAAGTTGCCGGGCCTGTTGCGTCGTGTGCTTGCCTTCTAGGGTAAACGGTTGGGCGAGTTTTGGGTAGACCACGGCGCCCTGAGCCTTCGAGGCGTAGACGGGCTTAGGTCTGCTTTCAGGGTATCTTAACTGTTGACGGCTCACCAGAGTCTTGTCTCTGGCGCTCCACTGTTGTTGATCTCCTTTGTGCCAAGGCTCCAGAGAATGGTTCAAGCTTCAAGTTGGCATGCCCCTATGACCCTATATATACACCCACTCGATCCTTAACATGAAAAATGGTCGTTGTGCTGTTTCCATTCGTCATTAGTCTTTCTCAGGTTCTGCTCGTGGGATTGACGGGCCGGAAACGTCCCGCAATCTGTACGGCTTGCCTTTATTAGCCTTCACAACAAAGCTAAGAAAGACCACAAAAGACATGTATGCGCTGGGCCATCGGGCCTGATCCAGATCACCGGCCCTGTTGTTAACATCCAAGGACCCTGTCAGAACGGGAAGCCTTCCAAGCGGGCTATGGTTCGGTAACCCAAACCGCGAAGTGTCCTTTCTATTAAAGAGGTGGCAGATTTGCCGGGGGCAGAAATTTGTGCGGGCACAAGGGCTGAGGATTTGCCGCTAGCCGTTGCTTCTGCGGAAGACAGCTCAAAGGCAGCCGCCAGAGTGCGACCTCTTTCATGACCACACATGGACCACGAACTTCAGAGCGTCATGGATCGTGTGCCAGAACACAGCTCAGCCTGAAACACCCAGCCCGACGTCGTGTTAGAGTGGTACATATCTCGACCCAAGCACATAAGGCTTTGCAAAGGGTTTCCAACTTTCTTTAAAGCCAATCTACTATTCAGGTTATGTATTTGGCATACTTATTCCACTGCAGATAGCATCTGGCAAAGACACATTGAACGACCCTGTACATAATTTCCAGGCTAGTGAGTCCAGGGACTCGCCACTACGTCCGTTTGCGATTCCTCGCGGCTCTCGCGGCTTCGGAGCGGCCTGGTGCAGTCTCGGTCAGACAGTTGGATGAGTACCACTGGCATGGCTTGGGGTTTGAGGGGTTTGGGGTTGCATCGAGGCTTCAGCAGGTTTGAAGTTGTTTTTTATGGTTTTCTGCAGGTTATTCACAGGGTTTTCTTGGGGGTTTGTAGGGTCTTGTAGGTGCCAGGCCCCAAATAACTAAGAAGGGAGCTGCGGGTGCTTCTTAGCTGATTCTGGTACAGGCGTAGTACGAAGAGGTTGAGTCCATGATAACTTGATCTGTCATTCCTTCCTGCTGCAGTCCGCTTTATGGTCATATGCTGTTCAAACGATCCGCTGCTCCCAATCTCTGAAACGCCGGGGACTAACTCGCCCAGCGCACCGTCGATGCCTCGTCGAAGCAATAGCCATGCGACGCGATGTCCAAAAATGTAGCCTCAAAGAAATGCTTCCTAGCTCTAGCACTCTAAACCCTGGACCCCCAAACTCGTGAAGAACGTTAAACCCTGAGCCATGCCCCGTAAGCCCAAACCTAACCTTTGAGCAGGAACGCCGACCCGCCCCACTGTCAACTGCATCGAAGGTGGCTTCCCGATTGTCTTGGGAGCTTCTTAAATCTGAAGGTTTTCCGTTTCAGGGTCAGGGTCAGGATGGCGGGTGTAGGTAAGGGAGCAATGGGGGGCCCTCCATCCTGTCCATGTCCGCTCCTGTCAAATTCGTGGTGTCGTCAGCCTACGGCAAGCTTGCGCTTATTCTGGCAAGCTGCTTCCGGTTCATGGCTCAGAGCCTGTATGGGCTTAGGCTTTTTGGGGCTTGTGGAGCCCTCTTTAGGCCCTACAAATTCTCTTGCGGTTTCAAGGGTTTGACATGGCTTTTACGTCCCGGAATCCGGAACTCCGCCTAAAGCCCTAAACCCCTAAACCCTTAATCCCCAAACCCTCCTAAAACCCTAAACCCTAAACCTCATAGCCCTGAGTCCCTATATCTTAAACCCTGAAAAGTCTAACCCTGGGGACATGGCTCCGCAATGGCAGACTGTTCAATTCAAGAGGTTTCCGATACGTATCCAGATGGAGGCTTCGCTTTAGGGTTTAGGGTTTAGGATTTCTGAGAGTTTAGGGATTAGCGCTTAGGCAAGACACGACATGTTTGATCCGTACAGAAAAGATTGGGCATCTTCGGAGAAAGTTCCCTTCTATCCCAACTTGATTTCAACGGGATGTCTTCCCAAACCTCTTCTACTCTAAACCCTAAACCCTAAACCCTAAACCCTAAGCCGTGAAGACCCCTTTTTCGGGAAGCTTGACCTTCCTTTATCCCTATCCAACTTTGTCATCATCTACCCGAAATCCTATTCTATTCCTGAAGGCGGCTACACTCGAAAGCTCGACATGGTTCTGTTTTTTTTCTGGGAGGGCTTCCGTTACACCCTCAACCCTAACACCCTAAACCCTAAAACCGTAAATCCTAAACCCTAAGCCCTAAACCCTAAACCCTAAACTCTAACACTGAAACCCTAAACCCTCAAACCCTAAATCCTCAACCCCAAACCCTAAACACTTTAGACCCATGTGGAGGTAACCCAGGGGCTCTCTCCCTCGTTGCCTGGGGCTCATCTGCTGGAGATTCGGATCGGGGCGTTCTTAGGGAGCGGAGGATCGGCTTAATATAGGGGCCTTACGAACTACCTATATTAGTTTGGGCGTTCCGTACTATAATCATAGCATAATATACCCCCAGAGCCCTATTCTAATATTTAAGGCCCCTATATTAGCCTTTTGGGGCTGAAGCTTCAGGTTTCAGAATCAGGGCTCAGCGTTAGGTTGTGGAGATGCCTACAATGGTTCCTTCGTGTATGTTTTGTGAATATCCATAGTAGTTATCATATCTCCCAGCAGCCTAAACCCGAAACCCGAAACCCTAAACCCCTTGAGCCTTACCAGGTTTGTGGTCTAGGCTTCGCGGCTGAGAGTTCGGGATTGAACCCTAAACTGAAGGGACCGGGCTGACAACTCAAGGGGTTTAGGGTTTAGGGTTTAGGGGTTTGGGGTTTGGGGTTTAGGGGTTTAGGGTTTAGGGTTTAGGGGTTTAGGAATCACCGTCTAGAGTTTGACGACTTGCGGTGCCAGCTCCTGTTTATAACTCCGGCTTCGGGGAGTCGAACTCTTTTTTCGACGTGCTGCCACCCGGAAGAGCATCCCACGCACGCAGTGTTTTTCCGAGACACGATCTGCTACTGTAGGACCCTAAATCATTACCTTTACTGTTTCGGGGGTTCCGTATTATGACTATAGTATAACATACCCTCCAAAATCTATTCTAATAATTCAGGCCCCTACATTAGTTCTGCAGGGTCTGTGTCCCAAGCTCCAGGCAACGATTCCACAAGCTACGGCGCAAAAGCATTTCCCAAACCTGCATCCCGAGAGCCTGAACCCCCCAACACGAAAGGAGTCCCAGTGTGTTTAGGGTTTAGGGTT